AACGTGTCGGCATTTTCTCTCGAAGGTCCTGAATGCGCATTGGTGCCCTCTTTCTCCGCATCGGTGACCCCAATTCCGGACAAATGAATACATAGACTGTCATCAACCCCATATACACCGCACACATTTTTCCCTTTCTCGATCCACGTTTGGCTGGCACTACCAATAAAGGTTTGTACTGTTCACAACTTTCTTTTAACTGGGATCGCTGAGATGTGTATGGATCGTGGGACCAGGTTCAGTTCTCGCAGTTTTGGCGAGATACAACAAATCGTATTGAAGAAATCATTTTCCACCTAACAAACATTGGGATTCCTACGGCCTGTCACGAGCGAACAAACCCATGGACTCACTTCACACCAGGATGTATCATCTGCTTTGTACGGAGGATTTAAGTTAGGCAGAAAGAATCCACAACCCTGAGCATCGACCGATTGAGATGCAGTCGAGATTAGCCACCCCAGAGTGTAGTAGCCATGGAAACCGGGAGGTTCGGTTACCAGTTCATCCGAGGTCGGATCGAACACCTGGTCTTGGGTCGTGAATCGTAGCTGGAACGTTGCATTTAGTGCAGTGGCCAAACCGTTGAGACCGGACTGGGAACGATAATGCATGAGACGACGCACGGTACTCTGTAGACTATTTGGGATGGACAGCGGGATCCAGCAGGATGACTTCAGTTGGGATTTGATGTGCAACGGGGACACTGTGGTAGGGCTTGAATGTGAGTTACCGGAGCCGTTCGTTTGACCGGGATCCAACAGATCTGGCAGAAAAGCGCTTAACAAACACTGCACAAGTTTCATTCATTGTTGTCCAAAAAGGATATGGCAGAGAGAAATGAGGCCGGGGAGGGGGAGTAACNGGGGGGGGTATTCTTATCTCGTTTCATAAACAGCAAGAAAAATGTGAATCGAAAATGTGCAAATCACAATGAAATCGAATACGTTTCGGAATCAGCGCATTTTCTAATCCAGAGATCGAGTGTGAAACTCAACCAACTAACCATAGCATGGCTTTGGAAGCATTTTATGACTCATGAAAACCCTTCGGCTGCATATTCAGTGCCCCTAACTGGGCACGCTACAAGGGGTGGCCAGCAACGCATACTCATTGTGCATCAGATGGCTAGAACGCGGACTGAGGTCCGTGATTCGATTCCCGACAAAAAGAAACACCACAGTATGCAGCACGCATTCATCTCCGATAATATATGACGGTCGATGACAGTCGAGTGTGTGTGTGTGATTCGGAGACAGTAGTTTAGTTCCCATACTATTCCTCTTCTCTAACCAAAAGCCGATCTATTGATCTACCGACCTGCAGGAAGCAACACTGAGAACTGCAGTAATATGGGATACAGAAGAACGTTCACAGCCTAACGCAAAAATCGATAAAGTCAAGCCGTACGATAATACCACGAAGTGGTGCTCATAATTACTCATTTCTTTCTATGACAGTTTTTGTATTTGGTGTAGCATGTATAAACAAGAAGCGTTAATTCGAAAGTTGAGAAATGGCAGTCATTATATATGAAATAGGTAAAACACACCCATTAGCATTGAGACAAAGTGCTCCGTACTAACATCTCAAACACTCTATCTTGTTCCGCTCTAAAATATAGAACTAACCAATTCCTCATTGTCCCCGGAATTTAGGGGACCACCGTCCGGTTGATCGTCCGAACGCGTTACCGCCAATGCCCAAACAATGCCACTCGCGGAAAGGGCGACCTGAAGTAGATGATAGTTCGGACACGGCCAGGTATACGATTGACAATACGGCCTGCGTTGGGATAGACCAAATTGCACCTGGAAATTGGAAGTATATGCAAGATGATGGGAAGACAATGGTTGGTGTGAACAAAAGACAGATTTACGAAGTCATCAATCATCAGCATGAAAGTTGAAATGTAGCCGGGTCGAGGTTAAAATGCAGGCAAAAATCGGCAAGACAGAAAAAAGGAAGCCCTATTTTGCACACAGTTTCAACTGAGGTATTGACAAGAAAAACATGAAAACGCGGTAAGTCGCATACTCACACCCCTAAACAATTAAGTGAAATCAAACACTTCAATGTAGTTGTCGATCCCTGTTCGCCGGATTCGATGAATCAATCACACAAAACGGAACACATCGGTAAACGTTTCTGTGGTTGTTCACCACACATAGGAAAAGTCTGGCTCATAGCAAAGCGTGGTCGTATTCACCAGTGTTGTTGACCAGTAAGAACACGACGGTCTTCAAAAGATCCTCGCCAACGGTAGCTGATCGCGCTGTGTGATCGATTTGAGTCAATCGATGTGAAGAGGTTCTTTTTTATTACAGCCAAATGAGTAAACCCCATTGTCAATGGCACGCCTCAAGGGGAGGAAGAACAGTCAAGTAAGAAGAATCAATTTGTTAATCCTGTTTGAGAAAAGAGTAAGATTAAAAGGGCTTAGAAGCACGGAGCTGGTGGGAAGAGCGTTCCACAATTTCGCAGTCTTCGGGAAGAAAGAAGATTGAAAAATAGAAGTTCGAAATCTGGGGACAGCAACCTGATAAGGTTTACTGCCCGTCTGAGAACGAGATGGAAGAGAAAAGGTCAACGGAAGGGGAACCACTGAGACGAGTTCGGAAGAGCAGAGACCAAAATAGTAACGATAGAAAAGGGATAACGAAGCAACCGC